CCAAGCGTGCTTTGGTGTCTATCTATTGCGTGCTACACAAAATGTAAGAAAACTGTGAAAATTATAAAAAAGAACACAAAAGGTAAGGATCAAAACCACGCCCTAGTATAGTAAAGCCTTAACATGAACGCGCTTGCCACTGGGGTGGCTGTTTCATCTGGTACCTAAGTGAAAACAATTAAAAATATAATAAACTCAAATAGCTGGAACGGAGAAGCGCCAGAGCCCTAGTTTCGGTCATCTTCTCCGGTGACTCCTTTTTTCGTTCCTGCAAAATAAGAGCACATTAATGATTCCCAGGGACCCTACCCCCCTAATTTGAGGGTTGCGAGTTCAATAGTGCTATTGGTTAGGGCATATTCCCTCTGTATAAATAGGCACGAAGAAGATAAAGTCAAACGGTGCAATCATGGCAACCCATGATTCAACCGCTATGAGGGTCATGCGATGGTTCAATCCTACGTTATTATACCTAAAAAAAACGTTAGTGGTGTTAATAAGCATTAAAACAACATGAAATCAAAAATACAAATTTCCAAAAATAATGAAAACCGGAGATGCATGTATGATGGTTTCATGTGCTTTGGATCATCACAACTGATCCAATCTTACCCTATAAAACTTCTGGAAATGAATAGGACAAGTATTTGGCCTTGAGGGAGGCTGCAAGGTAGGGTTTCGATTTGCCCTAGTTTTGATATTTTTGGAATTTTGGAATAATGTTTCTTGCAAGGTTTTTCGTGGTCTTGTTATGTCTGAACAATGAGAATATATATATATATATATATATATATATATATATATATAGAGGAAATTAGGTCAAACAAGTGGACCTGGACCTTTGTATGGAAGCCTTGATTTTATCTTATTTTACTTTAAATTTTAAATAAATAAAAATAAAAATAAAAAGAATAAAAATATAAGGGGTGCATTGATAAATTTAGAGGTTCACATTTCTGCCTATAACATGCATGGACCTTGAAACACAAGCCCACTAGCCCAAAATTTAAAGTTTGGTCACTTTAGGTTTCATGCATTTTCTCAAAATTTTCCAACTTGCACCAATCATAACTCTTTCAATTTTTAAGATTTGAAAGTTATCTAGAATTTTTTGTAAAGCTCAATATGTCCCCTACAATCTCTATGTTGGTCATTGTTTCATTTGAAGACTTTATCTTGATGTAAGTTGCCTTGACAAAAAGTGTCTTTTTGTTGACTATTGAAATGACCTATATAGTTTTGGCCCATATCTCTCAAATGAATCATTTTTTGGACTTTATCTTAGAGAGACAAATGTTGTAAAGAATTGAATTTCCTTCAAAATGAGTTTTGGTTGAGAAAAATCTGATGAAGCATGTGAAAGTTGTGCTTGGTCAAAGTTCAGTTGACTTCCCCTTAAGAAAACCCTAATTTGGTAACTTTTAACTTTTGATGAATCTTGAGTTTTCTTGATGAATCATGATCAACCCTTGATCAAATGATGAATGTGACTTCAAAATCTTGATGTTGAACAAAAATATTGAAGTTTGACTGTATGTTGACCATAATTGACTTTTTGTCCAATGCAGTTGATTTTCAGTCATCTGAACAATTGACTGAGAAAACTTGTGATGCAAGGCTTGAAACTTGGCATGAGCATTCCCTGAGACATATGAGAAACCATGAAATCCACTTGAGGCATTAGAATTCCAATCTTCCTTGAGAAAAGTAAGACCCTATTTGTAGGTCAACTGCTTAGGAGGAGGATTTGTCTGACCAAACCTTGTCCATCCTTGAGCAATTGAAAACCCTAGGATCATAAAGGATATACCTTGAAGAAAATGGGAGGAAAAATTTTGGGGTACAACAGCTGCCCCTGTTCAATCTTCTTAAACCTGAAGAGTTAGATTGGCATGCCCGCCATTCATGATCTGAAGGTGGAAGAGGATTGAACAATTAAGTCCCCAAAAATTTGCACTCGTCGGTGCATGAAGTAACATTGTTAGTTGATATTATTGCTTGAATGTGTCTAAAAATTCCATTCGGAGAAATGATAAAATATCGTCAGGGATGGGCTTAAAGATGCAATCCAAAGTGACTATTGATAGGAGTATCAGAATGAGTCCACGCTTGACTTTATCTGAAGAATGCTTTTCAGAATGAATCTATCCGATCCTATATGAGGGAAATGCTTTCCAAAATAAATCTCTGAAGGAAATCCTCTAGTCATGTAGATAGTCGCCCCGTCCTGTTTTCGGAATTGATCTACAATCTGTCTTTTTGTTGGTAAACCCGCTCTGTTTCGGTAATTCATACCACCTGGTCATGTCAATAGTTGCCCCGTCCTATTCTGGGAGTTAATGTTTGCCTGGTCATATAGATAGTTTACCCGTCCTGTTTTGGGAATTAATCTGAGACCTGCTTTTTGTTGGTAAACCCGTCCTGTTTCAGGAATTCATATCGCCTGGTCGTATAGATAGTTGCCCCGTCCAGTTTCGGGAATTAATCTCTGACTTGTTTTCTGTTGGTAAACCCGTCCTGTTTCAGGAATTCATACTGCTTGATCGCATAGATAGTTGCCCTGTCCTACTTCGAGAATTAATCTCTGACCTGTTTTTTGTTGGTAAACCCGTCCTGTTTTGAGAATTCATACTGGTTGGTCGAATAGATAGTTGCTCCTTCTTGTTTCAGGAATTAATCTTTGACCTGTTTGAAATTTGCTGACGATATTCGTCTATTTATGGACTAACTTGAAAGAAACAAAGTTAGTTTTATGCAATGTCATGATGTATGTAATGCATTGCGTAATGATGTTCTCAAAATAAATGAGAGTGTCGCATGCATTTCGTATTCATATGTTATGATGTTTTGGAAATGATATATAAGATATTGTTGACGACGATGTAGCTTCGTATAACATTCTTGACTGGGAAAAGTAAATTCCTGATTGTTGTTGGGGGTGAAGAATATGAAACTTCAATTTTTCCTAGAGTGTCTTCGTTGGGGTTTCTTGCATTCCGTTTGAGGATACTCTGTTGGAGACGTTCGACTTTAGCTTGGGGATAAAAGAATTCCAGCAACATTGGTCGTTCATCGTTGGATTCTTACGTACCCTGACTGGGGGACAAAAGAGATGGATAATTCTCTGATGCGTGGACGTCAACTCTTCTATGCAGGATAAAGTTGAATGACAACTGGCCCGGGAAGAGAATCGTGTCGGGGAATTGCGATAAATCAGAGAAATAAACTTTGTTTGGGAAATAAACCCTGCTGGAGAAGAGAATTCTGTCGGGGACTTTATAGTGTTGGAGAAATAAACTCCGCTGGAGAATTAAATTCCTGTAAGCTGTGCTGAGGAAATAATTTCGGATGGGAATTGGAATTTCATAGACTATGCGAAGGAAGTTTCCATCGTATGCTAGGGAAGTGATCAGACTTCCTTATACGCTAGGGGACCTAATGGGGGAGATGATCATGTGAACTGCTGGAAGATGTCTCAATTTCTGTCTAAAGGCATATTAGATTTGTTGGGGAATATATCTCTATCAGGGATGAGCTCGTGAAGGTAGCTCTGTAGAGATAGTTTCATGGAGATTGCTCTGGGGATTTATGAATGACTTAAACATTATCCCAACTCCTAGAGTCTTCGATAAATGTTAAACCTGTTTTCATTCATATATTTGTAAATGGTAATCATATTCAAATGCATATGTTCATTCAAAGTAACCATTGGACGTAACCGCAAACAAAAAAGAGGAAGTAAAAACAAATAGTTTTAAATTTTGAAATAGACTGAGTTGTATTGATTTTGAAAGTTTGCCTATGAACATGCGGTTTTATATAAGGAGACAAAAATCCTAGTAAGAGGAAGTTGTGAAATTGAAAAAAATACAAAGCGATAAACAAGAAAACAACTATGTGGAAATGATCCCATCGAATTTCAACTCTGCTATTGCCTTTATGTCTTCAAGCATCTCATCACTTTTCGTCGGAAGAAGATGACTGGATTGATCTGTATCGTTTGATCTTGACGTTGATTACAAAGCTTGTTGTAAGTAGATGATCCAACGGGGCATTGTCACACGCTTTAATCTCTAATTTTTTCCTGTACCGCCCTTTCGGATTTTCAGTCCACTGGGACACCCTTTTTTTCCCAAGCCGCCTTTTCAGGTTTTCAACTTGTAGGGTGTAATTTTTATATATATCCCTAATTTTTTTCCGAACCTTTTTAGTTCGCCGGGATGCCCTTATTTTTGGCTAGACCTGTCAACCTAGCGAGTCTCTTTTATGCGTAGTATTTTTTGACTATGTTTGCGTTCACAGGATACAAAAAATCCTCACCGTCCATGGTGGTAAGCATCATAGCACCGCCAGAAAATATCTTTTTGATTACAAATGACCCTTCGTATGTGAGAGTCCATTTGTCCTTTGGATCACCTTATGGTAAGATGATGCGTTTTATTACCAAATCACCAGCCTGATATACCTGATGTTTGACTTTCTTGTTAAATGCTTTGATCATGCGCTTCTGGTAGATCTGACCATGACAGAAAGCCGCAATTCTTTTCTCATCGATCAAGTTTATCTGGTCCAACCTAGTCTGAATCCACTCGTCTTCGTCGAAACCGGTGTCTTTCATAATCCTTATAAAAGGAATATGGACTTCGACAGGTAAGACAGTCTCCATACCGTAGACTAGAGAGAATGTGGTTGCCGCAGTTGATGTTCGTATTCTCTCTTTATTTTTTCGGTATAGTTTGCAGTCTCTTTTTAATTGTCAATGTTTGTTCAATCTAATATTCTTATTCACATTTTTATTTCGATATTGACTATTTTACAATATTTTTTATTAATTCATTTTATTTTTCTGATAAAAAAAAGTGTTCGATGATTAGCCACTTCAGTTCATTTCTCTTTATAATATTATTTAATTTCGTACTTAATGTATTATGTTGCATTCATTACCTTAAGTTTTGGTAATTTAAATATGTATTATATTGTTTTCTTTCATTCATTCACAAAACCACCTGCTATCTCACCAAAACTCAACCACTTCGTTTCTTCTCCCTCAATTTAATCCGCTAACACCCTTCTCCTCACCACACACTCCACATCCGTTAACACTTCCACCATACAGTAAATCCTTATACTTCCACCATCTTCCTCCGACCATCCGGAAACTCCTCACCATCTCTGAATCCGCCGGTAGCTCCAACCGTTTCACCGCACCACCATCAAAGGCTACAAAGTTTGAGTTCTCATTCTTTTTTAATTTATTTTTTCTTCTATTTTTAAGAGACATGTGCCAGTTACCATTCTATTATCTATGCTTGTTCTTCTTATCTAGAATTGGAAATTGGTTTGTAGAAGCAAAGTAGCCCTGGTTGATGTGATTAATTTCGTTTTTTTTAAACTAAAGTTGTTGTTCTAATATTAATATAGAAATTAAGTTTTAAGATTGGGCTTTAGGCCCAAGATAATATCATCTATGCATATCTCTCATTTTTCTTTTGGCACTTCCTTTATTTCTCTTTGTATTTTGGTTTTGTAATATTATAAATAAACTCAAGTAGTGTTGCTTATTTTATATTATTGTATTGTGATCTCAAAGTTAATTTTAATTTAGCTCTTGAACACATATGAATGCATAGACTTCATTGACCGACTATTTAGTGATTTTCGATTTGATGCATTTCGGTCATGTAGCTCACTCTTGAGCCTCATCTGAGACTTTGGGTAGCTTCTTTGTATTGTGGTTTCTGTCTGTGTGTTTTATCTGATGCGGAGAATCTTATCCGATATCTCGATGACCATCTGATGCTTTATTTGACACCTTGGACTTACCTGATGCACTCCCCCTGCTTGTGATTTATTTTCACTTGATACGCTTTATCCGTTGCTTTGAGTATTATATGACGCTTCGGTTTTCTTTGATGTTGTTTGCTTGTGATTTATTTTCACCTGAGGTTTGGTATACTCTTGGTTTATTTATCTGTTTGTGGCTTTAAATACAAAGGGATGAGAACACTATATTGATTTCTTTATATCAAGTATGAGCTTCTGTTTGGTCAGATCTTCCTTACCTTATCTTTTACCCTCCTGTACATAGGATACTCTCTTCATCTCCTTCTCATTCTTCAATTTTCAAAATCTTATTTTTTTTCCCAAACTTTAACCGCTTTCATAATAAACCTCGACTATGTAGAGTGCCTCTTTTCAAGCTTCTTTTTTCTTAATCAAACTCAAAACACTTAATAAATAAAGATGTGAATCATATGCTGCTGAGTCTTATGGGGACTAGTGAGACGGTGCATGCCGGAACCTTGATCTTCTTTCATTTCTTGACTTTATTACGATTCAATTCACAAATTCTTTCAAAAGACAAAAACATTTAACCTCATTCAAACCTTTTCATTTAAAATTTTTAAGATTAAACTGTTGGATTAAAATATCCAGCGTCAACCTTAGGGATTCGAAGGGCTTAACATCCCCCCATGGGTGCCTACACAAGTGTGTTAGGTGGGCCAGGTAGGCCCCTTGTTAGATTCTCTATAAGGAAATAGAGTAGCACCTTGGCTACAAGCAATTGCTTTTAGCTCAGTGGTAAGCGCTTGATCTTCAATTGGCATCAGAGCGCCTGGTTCTGAGCTTAAACACTTAACCGTGTCAGTACAAGATCCAGCGTCAGAAAAATACTATGGCAGAACCAAGTCAAAACATCAGCAATGACAACAATGAAGAAATAGACAAAATCAGTGGCAAACCTCCAGTCTTTGATGGAGAGAACTTTGATTATTGGAAAGACATAATTGAGAGTTTCTTTCTGGCCCATGATGCTGATCTGTGGGACATGGTGACTGATGGATACATGCATCCAGTGGATGGACGTGGTCAGAAGATAGAAAGAAAAATAATGTCTGATCAGCAAAAGCGTGAATTCAGAAACCACCACAAGGCCAGAACAATTCTCCTCAGCGCCATCTCATACTCAGAATATGAAAAAATATCAAACAGAGAAACTGCCAAGAATATGTTTGATTCTCTGAGAATGACGCATGAAGGAAATATTCAAGTCAAAGAAACCAAGGCCCTTGCGCTCATTCAGAAGTATGAGGCATTCAAGATGGAAGATAGTGAATCAATAGAAACTATGTTTTCAAGATTTCAAATTCTTGTTGCTGGTCTAAAAGTTCTTGACAAAGGGTACTCTACTGCTGATCATGTTAAGAAGATCATCAGAAGCTTGCCAAAACAGTGGAGGCCAATGGTCACAACGCTTAAGATAGCCAAAGATCTCAACAAAATCTCTCTGGAGGAACTTGTCAGCTCCCTCAGAAGTCACGAGATAGAGCTAGAAGCAGATGAACCTCAAAAGCAAGGTAAGCCATTAGATTTAAAATCTAACAGAAAATCTGACTCCAAAGTTTTGCAGGCTGTGGAAGAAACCTCTGATGAATCCTCATCAGAAGAAGATGAACTGTCTCTCCTCTCCAGAAGGGTGAACCAACTGTGGAAGCAGAGGCAAAGGAAGTTCAGGAATCCCAGAAGATCAGAAAAGCAGAATGAATCTATTGCAGGTATGGAAGTTAAACTCACAGGTACTGAAGACAACTCTTCAGAGGCTCTCAACAGAGTCACTCCCTTAACAGCAGAAAGAGTTACTACAAGAAATCCAACATCTTTTGTTGATCAACTCCAGAAAATACCTTCCAGAAGCAGCATTAATCACCCAAAAGATACAATTTTGGGAAGGAAGGAAGATCCAATCAGAACAAGATCTACTTTCAGAAACTCTGAAGAATCCCTCATGGGACTGGTTTCTCTGATTGAACCAACAACAATTGATGAAGCACTTCTGGACAACGAATGGATTCTAGCAATGCAAGAAGAGCTGAATCAATTCACCAGAAATGACGTATGGGATCTCGTTCCCAGACCAAAAGGATTCAACGTCATTGGAACAAGATGGGTGTTCAGAAACAAGCTAAATGAACAAGGTGAAGTCATCAGAAATAAAGCACGACTGGTAGCACAAGGTTATAGTCAGCAAGAGGGAATAGACTATACAGAAACCTTTGCTCCAGTCGCCAGGTTAGAATCTATCAGACTTTTAATTTCATTTGCTGTTAATAGAGGCATCACTCTGTATCAGATGGATGTCAAGAGTGCATTCTTAAATGGTTATATAGAAGAAGAGGTATATGTGCACCAACCCCCTGGTTTTGAAAGTTCCAAAAATCCAGAATATATTTTCAAACTAAAGAAGTCACTCTATGGTCTGAAACAAGCTCCCAGAGCTTGGTATGAAAGACTAAGTAACTTCCTGTTAGAAAAGGAATTCACCAGAGGGAAAGTGGACACAACCTTGTTCTGTAAGACATTTAAGAATGACATTTTAGTATGTCAAATTTATGTTGATGATATCATATTTGGATCCACTAAACCCTCTCTGGGAAGAGAGTTTTCTAAATGTATGCAGGCAGAATTTGAGATGAGCCTAATGGGGGAACTAAAATTCTTTCTGGGTATTCAAATAAATCAAACTTCAAAAGGAACTTACATTCATCAGAGCAAATATGTCAGAGAACTTCTGAAGAAATTTGATCTCTCAGAATGTAAGCCATCAAGGATTCCAATGCATCCCACGTGCATTCTGGAAAAAGAAGAGGTAAGTAAAAAGGTAGAACAGAAGGTCTACAGAGGTATGACTGGTTCTCTTCTGTATCTGACGACTTCAAGGCCTGACATTCTATTTAGTGTTTGCATTTGTGCTAGATTCCAATCAGATCCTAGAGAATCTCACTTAACAGCAGTTAAGCGAATTTTCAAGTATCTGAAAGGTACTGCTAATTTGAGTTTGTTTTATAGAAAATCAAATGATTACAGCTTAGTAGGATACTGTGATGCTGATTTTGCTGGAGACAGAGTAGAACGTAAAAGCACTTCTGGAAGATGCCAGTTTCTGGGAGAAAATCTGATCTCATGGTCCAGCAAAAGACAATCCACAATAGCTCTATCAACAACAGAAGCTAAATACATAGCAGCAGCTGGATGCAGTACGCAAATGCTCTGGATGAAAAGTCAACTTGAGGACTTCAATATATTTGAGAGTAACATCCCTATCCTCTGTGACAATACTTCTGCTATTTGTCTCAGTAAAAATCCTATTTTGCATTCTAGGGCTAAACATATAGAAATAAAACATCATTTTATTAGGGACTATATTCAGAAAGGGATTCTCAATTTAAAATTCATTGACACAGACCATCAATGCTGATGTCTTTACAAAACCTCTTTCTGAAGATAGGTTTAACTTCATTCTGAAACATCCCAGCATGAAACTTTGCCCAGAATAAACTGTTTTATTTACATATCTTAACCTTCAGAATTTTAGTTTTCTTTTCTGTGAACTACTGATCAACCTGCCTTCAGAATTTTAGAAGTACAGATTGTGTCAGAGTCTATCCATGAAGATCTGAGCGTTTCATTTCAAGGATAGAAGTGTGTTGTTCATGTAAGCAAACAATTGTCATCCATTCATCAGCTACCTTCTGAGGCTGAACACGCGTTCACTTTTCTTAAAGGTCAAAAGCGCTGATTGGGTGCATTGAGACACATGTCATGGATAACCGTTCCAATATCTTTCTGAATCCCCTAAAATCAGTTGTCATTAATGCTTATAATCATTACTAATTATTTCTCTCTCTTGCAGTTTATGTTTTCAAAAATATATTTAAACGCAAGTTTGATTCTTTACACTCTTTCACTTTTACTATTTTCTAATTATTTTCTGTTCGTACTTTCAAAACCCTTTCATCTTTCCAAATTTTCCTGTGTGAATATGGCTTCCTCAAGCGTCCCAAATACCAGTTCTTAGAGAAATGATTCTATGGAACAATATGAAGAACCGTTCAGAACTCTTCTCACGCCCATTGACAACCTAGAAGTTCTTTTAGAATTGATTGTGGATTTTGAAATTCTTCAAGAAAATGGATTCAATCTTTCTGAAGAAGTAAAGGCTCAAGGATGGAACATGTATTTTGATCGTCTTCTAGGTCCAATGTTTCCAATTCTTGTGAAAGAATTCTGGATTCATGATTCATCCTCCAACCATCAAGTCACATGGTATGTAATGAGGAAGAAGATAGTAATTATTGAAGACCTAATTGCAAGACTGATAGGTTACAATGGTGGTGGCGTAAGGTGTATAGACATGGCTAAAAGATGTGCTGATGTTGCTTCAATTGCAAGAGAAATTTTCACTCCGGGTCTTCCCTCCAGCAAGATAAGGGATCTGAAGGATCATCACAAAATATGGGCTAAGATAATTCTGGGATGCATCAACCACAGGAAGCCAACCAGCTCTCCTGACTACATA